GTAACAAAAACATTTGTACCCCACTAATATTTTGAAACTAAAAAAAAAAAAAAAAAACACTCACTCTGCCAAAAGCTAATGGCAGTTGAAAGATTGTTCAGACCTGGGTGGCTATTCATGGCCATTCAACAGGATTTTTGGAAAATTCATCACTTTAAATTGGATATATATGAAGGGTAGGGGTAAAAGTTGTACAAGGCAGATTTCTGTCTGGGGAGAATGTAACTGTTGTTGAAAAAATAAGATTTACATATTTTGAACAATAAGAGTAAACTTTAAATCAAGAGCCAAATTGAGAGGTCAATGCACAGGAGAGGCACCTGTGCCTTTAGAAAGTGGAAAGCTGGCATTAAGGCTCAGTGTGGATGAGTAGAAAAAGGATGAAACCTGCCATCAAAAGACACTGGAATCCCTATTACTTGAATGGATGATCTGTGTAACTTGGATCCAAGCTTGTTTTCTCATTTACACAAAGGGTCAATAATAATGCATACCATGCTTACTTGCATGACCGCTTTGTAAATCAAAAGAAGTCATCTATATGAATGCATTCTATAAGTGGGAGTAAGGGAAAATGATAGTTAATATGGATGGGCTGGGCCTTGAAGGGTACGTCACATTAAGATTGGCAAAAAGAAAGGTTAGGGTGTCCCACAGAGATGAATAACATGAGCTATGAAGTACAGAAGTAAAAAGTTACAGCAAAGAGTCAGAATTCTGCCTTAATTGGAGCATGCTACACAATGGGGACATATTTATATTAAAAAAATTATCATTGCTTATCTGAAATTTAAATTAAAGTAGGCATCCTGTATTTTATCTTGCAACTCTAGCCTTCTATCTTTGTACATGGTCAAGCCCCAAATCAAGACGTTTTGATCAACGACCAACTGTGTTTACAACAGTGAGTGGTCCCATAAGTTGAAAACTTCTTATGGTCTAGTGAAGTTGTAGCCATTTTAACATTGTAGCACAATGCATTACTTTTTCTATGTTTACATACACAAATATCATTGTGTTATAATTGCCTACAGTGTTCAGCACAGTACCATGCTGTCCAGGTTTGTAGCCTAGGAGCAATAGGCTATACCATATAGCCTAAGTGTACAGTGGGCTGTGCTCAGTAGATTTGTGAAAGTACACTCTGTGATGTTTGCACATGATGTAGACAGTATCTACATTTATAACTGCTTTCACTTGCAAATGGGTGTAGTTCTTATATACAAGGTCTCTCCTCTTGAAGTATTTCTTGGGCTGCCCAGACCCACAAGGAGTTTTGATTGTAGGAGAGAAGAGAGTGTGTTTAGGGTATGGTACTTGAGAATATACTAGGCTTTCTTTTTGCATTCCAATTCCATAAGCTGACTTGGAATACAGAAAAGAAATGCATCTGAGAAACTCTCACTGGTATATGAATGTGGTAGAGTAGATGTGGTAGAGTAATAGGGCCACATGCACAACAGAGCATGAGCTGCTCATTTGTTTTCTAATTATGTTGCTTTGTCATTATTCTCAGCCTAGGAGCAGATATGTTCTATTCCTTATGCTACTTTATTGTTTGTTTTGCAGACCCATTGTTTATTGTGTTGAGTGAGAAAGACCACACACAGGCAAATATCCAAGCCACCCTGATTCGAAGCAGACTGGTATGTCTAATTCACTGACTAAGGCTACCTGATGAACCTGAGCCGTCTAGTTTGGCTAAGTGCATTGATCATGTTGACTAATCACCAGATCTCCACCAGATTTTAGATTCTGCAGAAATTACTTTGCCATGATTACTAGGGGGCAAAGCATCCTAATACTTGCAGCTCATTGTGAGGATTAATTCACTAATAATGATTAAAAGAACCATAACTAATTTATTACAATTACAAAAGTAATATATGCCTGTGTTAAAAGAATTCAAGTAGTACCAAAGTACACTAAGAAGTAAGTGTCCAGCCCTAACCCCCTCCACATAAACAGCCATTGTCATCAGTTTCTTGGGCATCCATTTAGAGATACTCTATGCATATATTACTAGCCCCTCTTCCTATGCTATATACATTGTTTTGTACCTTTTTTAAAAAGTTTACAACGTGATTAAAATGCTTTGGAAAATCTGATGGTATAATTTTGTCCTTTATCTCCCCGACTCCCTTTCCTGACATTAGAAAAAAGTTCCTCGGTTTAGAACCATGTTCAGTAACCTGATCCATTATCCAAGATATTCTCTATATTGGAGCAAGTCAGATCCTGTCCCGCCGTTTATCAGTCGGGAATGGAAGGGACATGAGGAGAAACACAAGGAAGCCCTCTGGCAGCTTGCTGTGTAAGTGTTAGGTGGCCCCAGCTCCTTAAAATACTCATGTTTTTAATGAACATGTTTTCCTTTTTAAAAATTTGTATTTATTTACTCTGCACAATTTAAAAATGTACAGTTGTCATATTATACCTAGGCCAAATTCTCTCTCTAAACCCCTTTGACCATAACATGCATGATTAAGGAACAGTGGTTATAGGTTTATTGGTTAGTAACTGTTCTCAGGTTGGCATGAATATGTATATTAAATGACAACTTGCCGCCAAAAGTAGCGGTGACTGAGTTTTTTGTTCCTTTGATCCATCTTAGAAATTGCAAGTGTTCTTTTCTGCTAGTATCTAAAATGTTTTTTGGAGACTTGTAGCCAATGCACCTTCAAAGATAAGTCTCTTGAATTCTTTATTCTTTTAATTACTTATAAGTTCACATTTAGTAAATTAAAAAATAATGATGTCTTTCAGCCTAGACATAAAAAATTATATTTTCAAACTTTGTTATTCTCACGTGCTTTTAACTAAAAATGGGTATTTTTGTATGTGGGATTTCATAAATCTACTCTTTTTTCAATTCTTACTTGCTCTGTCTAGGTCCTGGTTTCTTGGCTTAGGGGAAGAATTATATCTATTCTAAGATGTAGGACAGTCAAATGCATGTTATAGAAGACTTTGGTCTCAGTATGAGATACTCTATCTCCTACTTTATAGACATAGAAATATTAAATAGAAATTATATGTGGAAAAATATTAGACTTGAATAATGTTTTCCTTCTTCATTTTAGAACTGACACTTTTCAGATGCCTAAAAAAGTTTGTGAAGATCCTGAAGTTACTGGAAAGAATCGTTATAAATACTTTGACAGGTAGAAAGTAATTATTAATGAACATTTGGGGCCTGATATTAAAGAACCTGTTTATAATAATAATAGCGCTGTCATCTTTAAGTGCATGTGGTGTGCAGGCTTCATTTTAAGTGCTTTACATGCATATCATCTAATCTTTACAACAGAAATGTAGGATAGGCTATATATTATTCCCATTTTACTAATAATGAAGCTGTGACCCAGAGAGGAGAAATAAGGTCATATAAGCTAGCAAGTGGAAGAGCTGAGATTCCAGCTAAAGCTGCCTGACTTTAGAGGTACTGACTGCAACTAAGAATATGTATTCAAAAACAAAATACAATCATCAAATGAAGTGAATGAGACACAGCAGAGATATCATGAAGTCACAGCAAAGGGAAGATCGTTAAAAGTGTCAAATGGACAACATTTGCTCCTTTGTTTGAATGTTGCCAAAACTAACATTCAAATAAATAAAATGGTCAAAAGACTCATTTTATTTCTTTTGTGATTAATAGTTATCTGGTAATCATATACTCAGGTCAAATTAAAATAAGGTGGAGATTTCCCTATAGATCTTACCTGACTTAGAAAAATATTCTTGATACCACATCTGCATAAGCTTCCTTTAGAAAGTAAATTCTAATCCACGTTATTATTTATGAGCAATCTCTTTATGGAAATTTTGTAATGCTAACTTTTTCAGAGAAATGTTAATTCTTAACTGTAGTATACTCAATTTCTAGGCTTTGTTGGGTGTGGGGAGGAAGTCTTAAAACTGAATCATTAGGAATTTTAGAATGTCTCAGGGAACTTGAAAATTTGGAAACTAATGGCCAGCTGAAGCCCAAGTATAGGGTACTGTTTCTTAAAGTGTGTCTTGTTTACCATCTGCACAGACACTATTGGAGTGCTTATTAAGAATGCAGATTCATAGGCTCAACCCTGTATCTATTGAACCTCATGGGTTAAATCTGGGAATTTGCATTTTAAACAAAAACTTCTTCATCCCCCAGCCCCCAGTGATTGTATACACCAAAGTTTAAGTAACACTGGTATACGGGATATTCAAGCTCATTGATTTTAAGGGACAAATATTAGAGTTGTAAGGAAGCTTAGAATGCACTCAATGCAAAAATCCCACACATTTATCTTTTCCTTTTCCTCCCAGGCCTTTCCTTCCATTTCATCAACAGATGCCACTGAATGTTGTTTATGCAGTAACCAAGTAAGTAAACATTAATTAAAAACTCCTTTTCAGTTTATTTATCATTTGCTTTCATATTTGCTTTCAGAAGATAGTTGTCTATATAAATATTTTTCAAACCGTGGGTCACAAACCAATGGAAGGTATGAAATCTTCTCGTGGGTCATAGGTAGCATTTAAGAAAATGAAACAGAATAGAAGATAACCAAAGCTTCAGGCATATTGAGGGGTTTTTGTTTATAACTTTTGTTTCAGATAAATATATGCATATGTT